CTAGTCCATCTAGATACTTTAACTTTGTACAGTCATGAATAGCTTTTTATTTTTTACTTATTTATTTTTAATCCTCACCCAACAGTATGTTTACTGACAGAGAGAGAGAGAGAGAGAGAGAGAGAGAGAGAGAGAGAGAAACATTGATGTGAGAGAGAAACATTGATCAGTTGCCTCCTATACTCATCCTGTCTGGGGAAGTAACCCACAACCTAGGTATGTGCCCTGACCAGGAATTGAACCCACAAAGTTTTGGTGTATGAAACGATGCTTTAACTTAGCCACCCAGTCAGGGTGGTCATGAATAGCTTTTAAAAAGCAACACTCATAAATTTACAATGGAAAGAAAGTTCAGTGAACACAGTTTGGGGATACTCCCTCCTACCCCATTTCTTCTCTTACCAACAAAAGAAGAGAATTGGGGACAGAAATTACTGTTTCTTTGTAAGTTTTTCTTTTTTCAATAGAAAATGTCTCTAAACTCCTTTGATATTCTGCAGCTGATTTTATGGCCAAAGCCATACACTGAGATCCACTTAGCCCAGCAGAGTGTCCTAATTATAGAAGCTACAATTTTGGAAATCTCTTGAAGTCTTTGTGCAGTTCTCGAAACATGACCTAAGGCCAATTATGAGTAGGTATAAGATATTTTTAAGAAAATGGTCAATATTTGTGGCCCAACTTCAACCCCAATTCTTCGAATTCAATAACTGTTTGCCATGCCAACCTTTCATTCAAGGTTGAAGGACCTTACTCGTATTTGGAAGCTCGCTGAGTTGGTGTATGGGTAAAGTCAGGTCTTTACTGACTAATGACCCCGTTCCTTGGTATGACTGTTCTCTGAAATTTCTGGTTGTGTTTTGTCTCGAGTGGCCTCCTTTCTCTCACATAAGTCCACTCTTCTTCCCAATTGCAAGATGTTTTAGCTTCCATATTTCAGGCTGAGTTAAGAAGTCTAAACATTCTCCTGGCCTAAGAAACAAGTGGTCAAGGTGGAGTTGGGTGAATAGGCTTTGGTGGTGGCTGGCAAGTCATCAATGATGAATTATAGCAGGACACAGGGAAGAGTCTTGAACCAGGAGATCCAGGTTTTGGCTTTGGATTGGCATCTAGACAGCTCTTTCAAATTTAAAAAGCCAGGTAAAAAAACAACAACACACACACACACATTTTAAAAAAAGCCACGTGTTCACTTTGGGCTTCATATGTAAAATGTGGCGATTGGGCAAGAAGGTTGATATAGGTCCTCCACATCAGCAGTTCTTGGTGTTTGCTTTCCACTGGACACACTGGGGGCGATTTTTTTAAAAATTTTTATTTTTTGCTAAAAGTATTACAAAGGGTATTATATATGTGTCCTTCCCCCTCCCCGCCCTTGACAATCCCCTGCCCTCCCTTACCCCCCAGTGTCTTATGTCCATTAGTTATGCTTATATGCATGCATACAAGTCCTTCGGTTGATCTCTTACCCCCCTCCCTCCTGCCCCCCAACCCTCCCTTGTCTTCCCACTGCAGTTTGACAATCAGTTTGAGGCAGCTCTGCCTCTGTATCTATTATTGTTCAAAAGTTTGTAATGGTCTTTATTATCCATGAATGAGTGAGATCATGTGGTATTTTTCCTTCATTGACTGGCTTGTTTCACTTAGCATAATGCTCTCCAGTTCCATCCATGCTGTTGCAAATGGTAAGAGTTCCTTCTTTTTTTACAGCAGCATAATATTCCATCGTGTAGATGTACCACAGTTTTCTAATCCATTCATCTACTGATGGGCACTTCGGCTGTTTCCAGATCTTAGCTATGGTGAATTGTGCTGCTATGAACATATGGGTGCACATATCCTTTCTGATTGGTGTTTCTGGTTTCTTGGGATATATTCCTAGAAGTGGGATCACAGGGTCAAATGGGAGTTCCATTTCCAGTTTTTTGAGGAAACTCCATACTGTCTTCCATAGTGGCTGCACCAGTCTGCATTCCCACCAGCAGTGCACAAGTGTTCCTTTTTCTCCACATCCTCTCCAGCACTTGTCGTTTGTTGATTTGTTGATGATGGCCATTCTGACAGGTGTGAGATGGTACCTCATTGTTGTTTTGATTTGCATCTCTCGGATGATTAGTGACTTTGAGCATGTTTTCATATGTCTCTTGGCTTTCTGAATGTCCTCTTTTGAAAGGTGTCTATTTAGATCCTTTGCCCATTTTTTGATTGGATTGTTTATCTTCTTTTTGTTAAGTTGTATGAGTTCCCTATAAATTTTGGAGATTAGGCCCTTATCAGATATGACGTTGGCAAATATGTTTTCCCATGCAGTGGGTTTTCTTGTTATTTTGTTGATGGTTTCTTTTGCTGTGCAGAAGCTTTTTATTTTGATGTAGTCCCATTTGTTCATTTTCTCTTTAGTTTCAACTGCACTGGGGGAGATTTTAAAATCCCTGTGCCCTGCCTACACCTGGACTAATGAAACCAGAATGTCTGGTGGTAAAACCTAGGCACTAGTGTTTCCAAATCTCTTCAGGTGATTCGAATTGGCAGCCAGCATTGAGAATCATTGCTTTGTAGACCTTAAAGTCTGAATTTTATGCACCTAATGTCTATCCTTAAAAAATGATAACTGAAGATGATGGAGGGTGATACCTTCCAATGACTAAATATGGAAAAATAAAGAAGCACATAATTTAAAGCATAGATCCTAATCTTGGGCTTAATTTTTTTTTTTTGCTGTAGAAGCAAAAGTTTTAGAAATGAATTATGTTATATCCATGGTTGGTTTCTGGTCCTTTTTCTCATCCATCATTCTGGAAAGTCAGTTTTGGTCCAGACAAGAGTCAACTGGACACACTGAATTCAAAATCCATATTATCAGCTCTGGTTGAAGGTTCGTCACTCTTCCTACCCCTTCTCTTGCTAATGAGGTTCTCTGTTGCCTTAATGATAATCTCTTGATGTCCTCAATGTCCAGAACAATGTGACAGTCTTCTGAAATATTTATACCCTAAGTATTTACAAACTGTCTTAATTATTTTAAGAAGTCCCAATACCCTACTGCTGTCATAGAAAATTGGAATGGGGATGATCATTTCTCTCAGAGTCAGGGCTTTCTAGGAATAGTTGAATCAAAGAGGAAAATATTTGGTTAGATCATGTAACATCAAAATCAAATGCTTATAATTTTAAAAATGTGTTAAATCTAGGGGAAATCATACTTATATCTCCAAGCAAGGAGGCAATGCTATTGTATATTCAGTGTTAAGATATTTTCCATCTGAAATGCATATCTGGATCTGGGTATATTTCTTCTTAATGTGCTTTGACCCTTGATATTGCTGCCTTCAAGTTGACCCCGACAGAATGTAAGTTCAGTGTGATCAGAGAGCTTGTTAATCTTTGACTCACCAATGCATAACACAGCACCTGGCTCATTGTAGGTGCTCAATAAATATGTTGAAAATGAAGGATTGTCTGAGATATGTATCATAAAGTTAAGTTGGAAGCAGAGTCTCTCCAATACCACAAATTTTGATATATAAGCAATCATAGTACTCTACTGAGTCTTTTTAGACTTCATTATATTTATGTATTTTTAAAATTGACTAAAATCAACCTAAACGAGCCCATAACCAGGCAACCTAGAAAAATGTACTCTAACTCTTCATTTGATAAAGACTCTAGGAAACCCCAAAGCCTGGCAAAGATGACACCCCACTTCCAACATAACTGAGAAAGCCATGCAAAGGCATAGGACTTCAAACCTTAGGAGCATTTGTCCTTGAAAATGGAATCATACCAGAACCCCCCACTGAACACCCAAACCAGAGCAACACCACCACATGTGTGTTTTATTTGTTTGTTTGCAATGAGGGCCCCTGCATATGGCTGTGCAGGTTATGGACCTCACCCTGCTACTTTAAGTGTGCTCAGTGGGTGAGAAGCACCAGCATCACCTGGGAGCTTGTTAGAAATGCTCACCCCAGACCTCCTGTGTCAGAATCCATTTGGTTTATATGTTCATTAAAGCGTGAGAGGCCACATAGTAGATCTAGAGTCATAAGCCTTTGGATTTTGCAATGATTATTCTGGCAGAATCGATGTTCGCAGCTACACCTAAGGAACGGCACCCTCTGTGAACACTCACCACTTTGGTGGCAGCTCCTGGTTTGTTAGGTTGTTTTACTTGCCTGTCTTGAAGGTATGAAATAAAATATTTGTAAGTTTTTTCAAATTTATGATGTAGTTGTTTTGTAGTAGGAGGCCCTACAAATGAACTTGTCTACTGTACTATGGGAAGCAGACTCTACTAAAGCTATTTTTCATTTGTTAAATATCAGGTTAAAGCACACAGAAGTATGGCCAAACCAGTCCACAAGCTCTTAGACACAAAATATGCCCTAGCATAGATCCTGGGGGCCACAAAGACCCTACAGAAAAGTACAACAAACATAGAAACTCATGTCAATCTCTATCTTTTTGTCAACAGACTGTTCTAGGCATTATTAATTTAGGGAGAAGGCAAAAGTTGGATATTTCTTTTCAGCTCTTTCTGAGTGAATCAAATATAAACTGATACTTTTCCTGAAAACATGTCAGAAAAAGGAATCTAAAAGAAAAATCTTACTCTCTGAACAGATTTGGACTTAAAGATACTCCTTTACTTCTTGCACATAGTAGATGAATATTGACACACACACACACACACACACACACACACACACACTCCTACAAGATAACTGAAGATGACCCCCACGGTGCTCCATTTTATTGTGGGCAAGAGCTTTGGGATTTAGAATTGGAGTTCATGTAAGTGTCCACTGAAGCTGGCTCTTGCCAAGTTCCTTAACATCATCACCAAGTCTTGGTCACACTAGCTCTGTGGTTAAGGAACGCGCTGGCAGAAACTATCTATCTCTAGAAAATTCTAACCCATTGGATGATCCTTCTTGGGAGTGGGAGGATGGGGATGATAGAGGTTTCCATACACAGGTTGACTTAAGAGATTGACTTACACAGCATCCAGCTTTGACCCATTGAAAGCATGTCCTTGGATTGAAGTAAAGCCATTGTTGTATAGTTTCCTGCAATCAACAGAGCAAGGAGAAATCAGTGACCTATAGGAGGTAATGCTGGCCCTTTTCTGAGGTTGGACTTCAATACTTCATTCAGTATCAGAAATGTGCATGAAGGTTCTTGGGTCCCGCATCTGAGCCCAGAAGAAAACTCTACAGTATGTCTTGTTGGGGACATAGAATAATATTTCTCATTTTGAATTCCCATTCTCTGGACTTTGCTTTTAGTAACTTGACACTGTTTTTCAGAAGCAGGTTCACTTTGAGGAACAAACATCTGCTATCATTTAAGACTTTTAAAAAAATGTTGTACATATATTTAAAAAAACAAGGGTTTCAGTTAATAGTTAACCCAAAGTCAATAATGGATGAATGGCCTGGCCCATATGGCTCAGTGGTTGAGCATTGACCTATGAACCAAGAGGTCACTGGTTTAATTTCTGGTCAGGGCACATGCCCGGGTTGTGGGCTCAATCCCCAGTAGGGGGCATGCAGGAGGCAGCCGGTTGATGTTTCTCATCAATGTTTCTATCTCTCTATCCCTCACCCTTCCTCTCTCTCTAAAAATCAATTTAAAAAATTTAAAAAATGGATGAATGACTGCAGTTTTTTAAAATCAATACTTTTAAAGACATTGTTCATTTAAATGCATAAGCTTTATTTTTCTGTTTAAAATGCTATTTCACATTTGTATTTTATCTGTATTTTTATTCTCTGGGCTTATCATAGATTAAATGCTTACTTGCTGTGAGCTGAACTAAATTGAACTTCAAAGACAAATTTAAGGAAGTAGATAGGCCATGCCATTTGGGGAAATTTTCATCTTTTAATTTGTTGCTATGTTTCTTCAACCAATTAATGTATATAATGATTCCAGGGGCTGGAATGAACCGCTATTTCCTAGTTAAGTGAATGAGACATGGAGGTGACTTGCTGAAACCACATTGCTGCAGAGCTGTTGGGACTCAGGATTCTTAACCTCAAAAGCCATTCTTCCCACTGACCCAAAACACAACCCTTTGTGCAGGAGGAGCCCCAGCTGCAGGAACTCTGGTCTACAATGGGATGCACGGGCGTTATTGGGGCTATTGACTTGAGAAAGAGAAGGCAGCCATGACCATAATAAGGCACAGCTAGTGGCAGTTGTGGGGGAACTTTGAACACTACTGTTGTCCACTATCTCTACACTGTGGTAACACATTAAAAAGCATAAATAGAGACTCCAAATTTGGAATTATACCTGGCTCTGACCCTTCATAAGACGTGATCCTGAGAATTTCGAAACCTCTATTATCCTCACTTTCCTTATCTGTAAAAATATGATAATAATACCCAATCAAAAGGTTGCTGGACTGACGAAATAGCTACATATTTAACCCAGTGAGAAACACTTAGGAGATGGCCATGTTAAAAGGAGTACCCTGAAGAGCTGGATTTATCCCATGTGTAGAACTAAGAGGCAATCTTTGCTTGTTTTAGATAATTACACAATGAGTTTAATTACACAACTAAGGTGTCCTAGGTGAAGACTGCCATTCACAGGGACACTGGGCAGAGGTTCAGAAAGCACTGATAGTTAATTTTTTGTGTGAACTAGAGTTCTTTAATGAAGATGTGAGAATTATACACTTGAAGATACTTGAATACAAAATATTATAAGGCCTCCAGGCCAAATCTGGCCCACTGCCTATTCTTTAAATAAAACTTTATTGGAACATAGCCATGCTCATTAGTGTGTATAGTGGGCCCTAAAATGGCAGAAATTAGCAGTTGCTACTAAGGCCATGTGATCTGTAAAACCTAAATGGCCCTTTATAGACAAAGTATGCAGGCTGTTTCTATAAGGGAATGCTGTTGTCTTGTCACCTAGACCATTTTGTCATCTATAGAGTCCTATACCACAGGGCCATACTCTTATTTAATTATGTGAAACCCTTGGTAGACCATAGAGCACTTACTATAAGGTAGTATGGTTCTTAGATGGGCTGTGAAACTATGATGATTTTCATGTCAAAATTCAGTTGTTGGCATTTGTAGAATGGAGAAGTTATAACACTACTCACAGCGTCAAGGTTTCATTGCACAGTCCCTGGAAAGCATTGGCAGGGATGGAAGTCATGTAGGGGTTGTCTGTAATTTCCCTGCAAGAGAGGGACAAAACACTTGGTGAAAACAATGCTTTTATTTTATTTTTTTGGAGTTGGGCTCTTGCTGCACATCTGCATTTAAATAAATAGCCTGACACAGTTTAGTTTAATCTTGTTTCTTTTTAAGTTTCATTGACTTAGCTGCTTGCTGGTGGCTCTTAGGTCAAGTGAGGTGATGAGAGCTATCCTAGATGGACATGCACTTAGGGCCCCAAATGTATAGTCAGTGAGTGAGCTTTGGATTTGGCTGAGGCCCCTGACTTAATCCTTATCTGCCAGGGGAGCTAGTGGGTCTCATAGACTTCTTGTGAGTCTATGACAAATACTTTGTTCATAGCAACTAGAGTGTTCTAAGTATATGGAGCACCTAAAAAGAGTTGGAGGAATGGAATCAATGGATTTCATTTCATGAATATTTCTAAAGTGTTCTCCACTTGGAAAACACTGCCAGGCAGTTGCCCCAGGAGAGCATTTCTATGCCAACCTTATGGCTGGAAGACTGCCTGTATTTTGAACTGAGCTCTTCTGCTGCAAAGGAGCACTGTCAATTTTTTTTTCTAGCAAAATCCCAACAGTTTGGATCCCTTCACTCCATGTTTTGCTGTGGTGCAAACTCAACCTGTAACTCTCTCTGCATATGTCCTTTCACTTCTGTACAACTTGACTGTGTGTAACAGGTTTTAGTCAAGAGCACGTGGCCAACAAGAAGTCACAGAAAGCAGTGTGAGCATCTCTAGTGACTACTCCTTGGGACTCTGCTCAGACAAAATCACTTAGGTTTTCTATTCCTCAGTTTCCTCATTTGTAGAGTGGAAGCATTATAACTTCCTTTTATGACTTAATGAAATGGTCGAGAGGAACAACCTTGATAATTAATTAGGAAGTGTTTAAAAGTATTAAAAAACTAGATGAAAAATGAAGTGTCATCATCATCACCAAAATTTTCTCCTATTTAATCATTGCTACCAGCAAACAAATATGCCATAATTTCTCCCATCAAAAGAGAACCACAACATACCTTTTCTCCCAATATCCACCAACTACTGAAACATTTTCTGCTCTATTTTAACAGTAAAACTTGTCAAAAGAGTTTGTTATAATCACTGTAATTCTCCCTCTCACCCACTCTAACTACTTCTCCAGCATTGGAGCTGTCCAGGTCAGGATCACCAATGCCCCACATTATTAAACCCAATGGCCAGTCCTCAGTCCTTGCCACCTGTCATCTATCAGTACACCTGTCACAGCTGATCACTGCTCCTTTCTTGAAACAGTTGCTCTACTTGGCTTCGACCAACACTAATGGTTGCCTCTATTCCTTTTTAGTGACAAATAAAATACTGCCCAACATTGCATGTGTGCATACTTACAGTATAAAGAATACATCCATGGAATAAACTTTGGTCAGGTCAGGGAATATTTTAAGTCCAGTGTTGAAAATGCCACTAAAGTAATGAAAAAGAAGAAAAAACACAGAAATCAGCAAAGGAAATTAACACATAGGAAGTAGAATAATGTAAAAGCTTAAAACATGGGTTCTGAAGTCAGGTGGGAGTCAAATCCTAACTCCTCCACTAAATAGCTGAGTGGCCATGGGCAAGTTCTGATCCTTGGAGGAGATGATGTTCCCTCCAGTGCAATAACCTAGTCTTGTTCACCAGTGTCAAAACATGTTTTCCTTTTTAGAAAAAACTTGGGATTGTTTGAACCAAGTAAGATTCCTAGGAAAAGGAATTCAGGCTTCTCTCTCTCTCTCTCTCTCTCTCTCTCTCTCTCTCTCTCTCTCTCTCTTTCTCTCTCTCATCCTTATTTTAATTGGAGCACATTGTGGGTGTGCCTGTGTGTGTCTGGGGGATAAAATAAAGGGAGGATGGGAAAGGAAGACAATACAATTGCCCAACTCCAAGCCAAGCTTCCTCTTTCCAACTCTACATTATATTGTGTTCATTATTTTGCCAAGAATGCTTTTCCCAAGGCAGTCACTGGGGCACCATGGCAGCAGTACCATTTAACAGGTGCGTCCAGCCAAGGAAGGAAAGCAATCAAACACATCGTCACTTCCCATAGTTTGTACCATCAGGGAAAAATGCCAAAATGAAAATATGTGCATGAACAGCACGAATACAAAAACTTTCAGGCTCTGATGCCTCCCAGATTTAGCTGGTTTAACATCTGTTGCAGCTGCTAGAATGTAGGTAGTAGAAACAGATGAGGTGAGATCTAGCCACTATCAGTGAATTTTTAAAGAAAGTCTTCCAGTAGAGAACACTCCAGTTCCACTGGTGGGTCTTCTCAGGCAAATTCTGACCTGACTTCCTCTAGAGCAGTGGTTCTCAACCTGTGGGTTTCGACCCCTTTGGGGGTCGAACGACCCTTTCACAGGGGTCGCCTAAGACCATCGGAAAACACATATATATTTACATATTGTTTTTGTGATTAATCACTATGCTTTAATTATGTTCAATTTATAACAATGAAAATACATCCTGCATATCAGATATTTACATTACGATTCATAACAGTAGCAAAATTACAGTTATGAAGTAGCAACGAAAATAATTTTATGGTTGGGGGTCACCACAACATGAGGAACTGTATTAAAGGGTCGCGGCATTAGGAAGGTTGAGAACCACTGCTCTAGAGGGAAGACATAGGATTTGAAGACGAAGCAGGAGCCAGAGGTCTCAAATGGGACTTTGAGCAAATGGGACTTTGCAAATAACAAAGGAGAGACATGAGGGTCCATGAGGTATAATCGAAGCACAGGAAACAAGCTAGCTCAGTTGCAATAGCAGTTCACATGGAAGAGCAGGGGGAAAAGGCCCAAGGGAAGGGCTGAAATGCCAGATTAGGGACTTGTATCAGGACTCCTCTATTCTTCAAAACCCTAGACAAGTCCATCTCCTTTTTGATGTCTTCTCGAATGGCCTGTACCCCCAAATAATGTATGTTCCTCTCATTTTTCACTTACCGTTATTCTCCTGTATGGGAGGAACTTTTCAATGTCATATATAGTATCTTCCCCAACTAGAGCGTAAGCTTTTTGAAGGCAAGGACAATGCTTTACTATCCTCTGTGTTCCCCACAGAGCCTTGCACTTAGCAGGAGATCATCATATCGAAGAGTGATTGATTAAAACACTAAGTCCATATAGGAGTGACTGCCTTGTCCCATAAGTTTTTGTCACTCCCCAGATACCCCCTCAGCCACATAACCCATCAATGTCCTTTTCTATTCCTCCGGCATCTCCCACTCCCACCTCTTCAATACTGAACTATTCATAGTTCCCCCAAATAAGCCATGTGGCCCCATGGCTTTGTGTCTTTACCATGCTTTTCCATCCATCTGTATTTCTCTTCTACCTCAACCCCCTTCTTTTCCTGGATAACTTCAATTCATCCTTAAAGACTATATTCATAAAATATATATGGCTATATACTTCTATTTAAAAATTCCTAGATGGAAATAAGCTATATTAATAGTGATTATTTCTGGGCATTGGAATTAAGGTTGATTCATTTTTTCCCCCTCATATTTTTTTTTGCCTTCTTATCTTTTACAACGCATGTGAGCAGGAAAGAGGGAAGGTAGGAGGGGTTCTTCAGCTGGTGCCTGGAGGACCTGAGGCCATACGTAGACATCCAGTGAACACACTGTTGTTGAGCACGTACTAAGCTCAGCAGTCAAAAAGAACAGAGAACACAAACATGGTTCCTGCTCTCATAGAGGTATGATGAAGGTGTCACCAAAGCAAGGCAGCAGCTGCTGTTCCACCCATTTTTATCCCTACAACCTCTAAGAGAATAGATTTTATCCTTTGTGGCTTTTGTATTTTTGTTGTGTAGCAGCCACTCTACTATTGTTGTGATACCCATTTTCTAATAAAATTGACCAGGGGGCTCTCAGTGTTTCTTGTTTTGTTTTGTTCTGTTCTACTCCACTTAAAAGACTATATATAAGTGTGTTCCCCTATTTGTATACACACTTTAACAGCTGGTAGCTCAACTTTGAAAATAAAATGTCTTTTATTTATTATTTTAAATCCTTACCCGAGGATATTTTTCCACTGATTTTTAGAGAGAGTGGAAGAGAGAGAGAGAAACATTGAAGTCAGAGAAACACATTGATTGGTTGCTTCCTGCATGCACCTCAACCAAGGCCTGGTCTGGGAAGGAGCCTGCAACCTGGGTATGTGCCCTTGACCAGAATCAAACCTGGGACCCTTCGGTCTGCAGGCCAACACTCTATCCACTCCACCAAACCGGCTAGAGCGAAAATGAAATGTATTTTAATAAACACTGCCTTTCTAACTACTTAATTACATTTTGGGGGGACACCCTATACATGATGGCATTTTCTCCTTCATGTTTCTGGGAATAGGTATCTGGTCCCAGCAGTATGTGCTGACCTTTGAACTGGTTTTCTAAAATGTGGATCATTTCACCGGATACCTTGCCTGATGGGAAAGGGTGGGAAGTAAATCATAGGATATGATTTGTCTCAGAAATTAAACCACTCAAACGGTCCCAGCCCACATCATCCTAGGGAGAATTCTGGTAGATAATAACATAATTATCTAGAAAATTTTTTTAAAAAATGGGATTGGAATGGAGTTAATACTTACAGGAACTTCAGAAGAGGCAGCTCTTTTAGGGCACCAGGGTCTATGTAAGTTAAGCTTCTTGTATTCCGAATCTCTCTATAAAAGTTACAAGGAGCACATTCATCATAATACATCCATTTCTGTTCTTATTAAAGATAAAACAACATAAGTCAGCTTTAACATGAGAGGAATACACATTGACATGGCAACCCACAGACGGTTCCTGCCGGGAGTCATGGCCAACAAAGGACTGCCGGCTCCTCACAGGGACACAGCAGCTGTTCAACCTTCTCACATCCTTGGCTTAGTTTCGGTTTCTTTGAATTTATGGGCAACTTTTCTCTTAATTGCAGTCTCAGAGCCTTTTCAAACTCTTAGATGTAAATAGGAAAGAAAAGCCTCTTCAGTGGCTTGTGGAAGGCAGAAATCTTTATTATTCACTATAGTAAGTGTCCTGGCCCTGGGTGGGAGGTTGAATGGATTAGATGGATGGCAGCAAGGTAATGAGGGTGGTGAGAGCTCTCTGTCAATTGCTGTTTCAGTGGATGTCGTGTCAACAATTCCCTTGGGTTTATTTTTCTATGTCAGTCATTTAAGACTCTTTAGCACATGTGGTATAATATCACGTATTTCTGTAACTTACATGGTGTGATATCACGTATGTCTGTAACTTACATGGTTGGGTTTATATGCATGCTCATCACAGTTAGCATTAGTGAAATTGGTGGTTGTTAGAAATGGCTATCATTGGTAAAATTAAATGTAGTCAACATACTATATTGATTAAGAGTTTCAAGGCACTCCCCGTGCTTGTATGAAGAGGATGGAGGGTCCCGCACACAGCCTTTCCTCAGGCTTGATGACTAAAGGAACCTACATTTAGTTGTTGATGGTGACAATTCGAAGACTTAGAATCTGGCCTCTGGAATTTTGTTTTTAATGGTTTTAGTGAAGGGGAGTTTCTGTAAGATTCATGCATTGCAGGTATGTAATTAGATGATTTTTGGTAAATTTGTGGAATTGTGCAACCATCATCACAATCCAGTTTTAGGGCCTTTCTATCAATGACGAAAGTAACCATAGGCCCATTTGCAGTTAATTCCCACCCTCTCTGCCATGCCGAGGATCCACTAATCTGCTTTCTATCTCTATACATGTCCCTTATCTGGGCATTTCATATCAAAGAGATGACAAATATGTAGTCTTCCATGTCTGGCTTCTTTCCTTTAGCATAATGTCTGTGAGGTTCATCCATGTGTAGCATGTGTCAGGACTTGACTACTTTCTATTGCTGAATAGTCAGGTGGACCTGGGATCGAATCTTGGCTCTGCCACTGCTGGCTGCATAACCTGGGCAGGTTCCTTGACCTTTTTGAGCCACAGTTTCCTCAAATGTAAATAGGGACAATAACAGCACCTGTTTCATAGGACTCTTGTTAGGACTAAATAATGCCCATAAGGAATTTGACATGTGACCTAGCACACAGTGAGGGCTCTATAAATGATTATTTTATTACTAGAGGCCCAGTTCACTAATTCATGCAACAGTGGGGTCCCCGGGCCTGCTTGCGGGATCAGGCCAAAACCAGCTCTCTGACACCCTCCCCCCCCGCCAGGGGTCCTGGATTGTGAGAGGGCACAGGCCAGGCTGAGGGACCCCACTGGTGCATGATTGGGGCTGGGGAGGGACATGGGAGGTTGGCCAGCCAAGGAGGTACCATGGGAAGGCTTCAGGGTATGTCCGGCCCCTCTTGCTCAGTCCCGATCAGCTGGATGCCAGCAGCAAGCTAACCTACCAGTTGGAGCATCTACCCCCTGGTGGTCCGTGCACATCATAGCGAGTGGTTGAGTGGCCTTAGCATATCATTAGCATATTATGCTTTGATTGGTTGAATGGATGACCCAACACTTAGCATATTAGCCTTATATTATATAGGATTGCTGTTCTCCTAAGTGGAATGAAAGCTAGAGCAGAATCAAGAACTTGGATTGGAAGTGCTATAATGTTCGTACCAAATGTAAAAACAAAACAACAACAAAACACAAGGTTTGGTTTTTGACTAAAGTTCTTGACCTTGGAAAAGAGAGGATGGAATTAACTTGGAGGAGAGAAACCATCTACCCTCTCTCCACCTCAGTTTACTGTCTATATTAATATAACCTTACTGGCCCATTGTCTTCATTACCATAACTTTTTCCCAGGCAAATAACTTTATTGTTCATTATGGGAACTTCTTGAAAGACCCATCAATGCTTCAACAGAAAGCATCAACAGTTTATATCGCCAAATCCTTAGAATCCCCACCTCAAAATCTTTGCCTTGTTTCCACTAATCCTAACCTATCATATCATGATCTTTATCCATCCAAGACCCTGCATTGAAAGACCCATTTTATATTTTTGTTCTGGGTTGAAACTAAGAGCCCTCTACCCCGGGAACTCCCTCTGTCCCGGGTAAACTGGGTCGCTGGCCACCTGACTGCACGATCTCATAGTCCTTGGAGAGACGGGCAGATTCTCAAAGGCAGAGCTCTGTCTCTGCGTGGTGAACAATGCACTGCCTGTCAGAGCTCTCCATTTGAGGAGGAGGGTTTGAACTCTTGTCCGAGACAATCAAATGTAAACTATTTGGTAGAGTGTGGAAACTGTGGCTTGTAGCCTGGAAAATTGTTCCATTAGAGACTATCCTTACATAAGCAGACTTCAGGGACTGACCCAAAGAGAATGTTACAAGGAAATGAAGTGCAGCCCAACTGAATTGGCGTTAGAGGTAAGGAATGCAAGGCAAAGGAGGCCCTGCTGCCGGTTACAGCTGGTTAAATGGGCTGCAACCGACATGGTGTTGTGAGAGGAGAGAGAAGTGGGAGAGGCTGCAGGAGATGGGGAGACGCAAAGAGAAGCTGGATTTCTGGGGGGAAATGTAAGATGAACAAGCGATAGCTCAAGAAAACACCAAGGAAAAGAAGTCGCTTTCTGAGGTGAGAAGATAGCTCAACATTTCTGCACAAGTGAATTAAAAAAAAATCTTGCTGAGAGAAAGATAAACTCTATATGATATCACTTATATGCGGCATCTAAAAAAGTTGAACCCAGAGAAATAGAGCTGGGGGTTGGTTACAAGAAGCTGGGGGTGGGGTGAGGATGAGGAGATATTGATCAAAGGGAACAAACTTCCAATTGCAAGATTAACAAATTCTAGGACTCTAATGTACAGCATGATGACTGTAGCCAAAAATACTGTATTATGCACTTGGCAGTTGCTAAGAGAGATCTTAAATGCTCTCACACTCCCAAAAAAGGTAATTACTATATGTGACAGGATGGAGGTGTTGGCTAATACTATGGTGGAAGTCATTTTGTAATATGTAAATGTATCAGATCAAAACCTCATACATTAAACTTACACAGTGTTATATTGTTCATTATAACTCAATAAAGCTAGAAAGAATAAAATCTCTGCTGAAGCAAGCAAGTTTAGCCAAATGGAGACAATGTCAAAAGTGAAAGCACCTGGTATAACCTTTTCAAAGAAAGAAAGCGAGGAGTAGAGGAAAGTACCACAGAACCTCTGATAATAGGAGAAGGATGAAAGAGGGGTCCAAATTTGAATGTGTTCCAGGCATGTCAGGGAGGTTGAATTTGAATCACACAATTTAGAGTTAGTGATTGTGGCCCAAACGTACAGGAGGGTAGCTACGCTGCCAGGAAGCTGGGGACATCTAGGGAAAGAAAACCTCTATGTAATTGGAGCAGAGGGGTTGGAATGGAGATGTCCTCTAGCCTAGGTGTGAACACAGTTGAAGGTGGAGGGGCCTCTGGATCGGCAGCCTGGATCCCTGGGTGACTGCGTGAGGGAATGCTACCCTGCCCACCTTCTCATTCACCCAGGACTGTTCCATGAGCAAGAAATAAACTTCAGTTACCTTAGGGCTGGCCCACATTTGTATGTTTGTTTATTTCTTAATTAGCCTACCCAAGCCAATACAATAAGCATCAATACAGTTCTTAAAATACAGAGTATATTGTTGATAGTGGTCATCTCTGTAGGTAGGTTTGGAGGCTAAGAGTGTGTGATTTCTACTTTTTATTTTATCTTGTTTAAAAGAAGAAAAACATGTTATAAAAGGCATGCAAAAAGTCCTCAAGTTAAAAGAAAAAGCGAAGCAATAGGTTGTCTATGTCAAAAATTAAAAAAAAAATGCAGAGCTAGCCCTAACTGGTTTGGCTCAGTGGATAGAGCATCAGCCTGTGACTGAAGGGTCCCAGGTTCGATTCCGGTCAAGGGCACGCACCTTGATTGCAGGCACATCCCCAGTAGGAGGTGTGCAGGAGGCAGCTGATCGATGTTTCTCTCTCGTCGATGTTTCTAACTCTCTATTCCTCTCCCTTCCTCTCTGTAAAAAATCATAAAATATATTTTTAAAAAAATGCAGGCTAGGTAATCTGTGCAAATCTTCAAGTATGCTTGTCTATGGAGAGGGGTGACTTAGCTGTGTCGGGAAATATTTGAGGATCATGATGCTTATTGATTAGAGAAGCCCAGCCTTGGACAAAAGGAGAGTCGAGGACAAAAAGGGACTGGTGGTACCTCTATTAGGATGGTCTGGCAGTGAGGGATGGCAGAACTGACTGAAGTGAAGCAGGTAGTATCATCCTCGTTTTGCAGACAAAACAGTGGAGACAAGTTTAGGAAGGTGATGTGCCTGGTCTCCTGTTGAACCGTTAGAGGCAACTCTGGACCTTGATCTAGGACTTCTAACTCCAAATTCAGCTGTAAAAAAATGTCTAAAGGAAATCATCTACCATTACTAAGAAGAAATTTAAATACACATCCTTGCTGAATTTCCCTTCATTAGATTTCAAATAAAATGGACATTTAGATAAAAAATATAATATTGATGGCCAGTGTGCGGTGTTTTCACAAGCCAGCAAATTAGTAATTTAGCACACATTAGGTTCATTTAATCATATGTCTAGATTCTGTTTTCTTTTTCTTTTTCTTTTTCTGAGAAACACTTGTCAAGTCTCAGCAAGAGCCAAGAACAGAAATTGGCTTATTCAAAACAACTGGCACTGTGGTGGGCACTTAGGAGCCCAGCCTAAACCCAAAGAATATGGGGAATCAGCAATGTGAGAGGAGGGAGTCCTCAGGTTGGGGGGACAAGGGGCAAAAAGAGGGGAGATGGTGGCTTAAAACCCTTCTAATTAAGGAATTTTCCAATTATTGATTTCCTTCCGCTGTCCCGTGTCCCCTTCCTACCTCCGTTATTTAACAGGCATTCGATCATGACACTGGACTGGGATCCTCAGGCTTAGAGATATGTGCCCACACCCTAGACACCCCCAGTCCATGAGTGAAGATGCCAAGCTGGGAAGCGAATCATGAAGCTGAGTTAGCATTTCACCTGCGGAGTAGATGGGCCAAGGGAGACGAGAAAGCGTCAGACTCGCTCGGGGCCGGCACTCTGAGTTAGAATCAAATACCTGAAGCAAAGAGAAGCTGCCTCTGTCAGCGTAGCTGGACTTTAAAGAAATACAGATGTAATAATGTGAAAGACGATATTGTTTAAAATGAGAAACTGAAGAACATTAGCCAGAAACCTAGCTCTCAGCTTCTTTTTAACTCTTACTTTATTTTGATTCTCAATTTTTTGCTAGTCAGCTTTTAAGTGCCAATAGTTAAAAAAAAAAAAAAAAGGAGGCAGGTCACTCTGACTTTTTCTAGGTCTGCTTGCTCTGTTGAACAGAGCAGGGAGAGAGTCATTAACATTAAAGGAATAATTATTGGACATCTATTATGTGCAACTTTACCGCATTCTCTGGGAGATAAAGGGAAGTAGACACTTTAATTTCTTTAAAAAGAAGATGTGTATATATTGGCAAAGCCATCATTGTGTTGCTTTAAATAATTTGAATGCCATACAGCACCAAAATGAAAACGGCTCAGCCAGTGTGGCTCAGCAGTTAAGTGTTGACCCCGGAACCAAGAGGTCAACTGTTCCATTACCAGTCAGGGCACATGTCTGGGTTTGCAGGCTTGATTCCCCAGTAGGGGGTATGCAGGAGGCAGCCAAATGATGATGTTCCTCTTTCAGCTATGTTTCTATCTCTTTATCTCTTTCCTGTCCTCTCTCTAAAAATCAATAAAAAGATATGTATATATACTAGAGGCCCTGTGCATGAATTTATGAACGGGTGGGGTCCCTCTGGGTGGCCTGCAGGGATCGGGCCAAAACCCACAGTCCAACGCTGCCTGCAGCTCCCACATGGCACTCCCACTCATCTCCACTGCACTACACCTGCTGCAGGCTCTCACCCAATCAGTCCCGATCTGGGAGGCCATGCCCCCCCACCCGTGCATGAATTCTGTGCACTGGGCCTCTAATATATATATATATATCCTATACAATAAAAGCCTAATATGTTAAGTGTCCAGTCATCTGGTCGTCTGTTCAACCAATCAAAGTATAATATGCTAATGATATGCTAAGACCATTCAATT